CGATTATTAAACTTTTGATTATTTGTCAATTTTTTGGGGAATCAAGTTAATTGGATCTTATTAATGAATAGCCCAAAATCAAAGAATATGACGAGAATATCGATGACATTGAATTAGAGTCAGTGGGTATAGGCGTGGGAGAAAGGGGAAATGATGGACAAGTTGGTGACGGCTCTATTTCAGGTTCACAAGAACCGAACCAAACCTTGTCTGAACAACTAAACAATAATAATAAAAATAACAATGATAATGGTTGTGGTATAGAGACCGAGCCTACGTTTTCTTCCATGTCATCACTATCTAAAGAAGTGAGTGCAGCTTTAGCTGCTACTGACATCTCCGTTTCCGCAACCGGAGAAGATTCTTTTGAAAGTGATTCTGATGGAGAAAGTATAGATATTTCCGCGGAAATAAGTCAATTTAACAAACACAAAGAAGGTCACATATTTAGCATTAAAGAAAAAAAGATTGAGGTTATTGAAGACGTGTCATCATCATCGTTATCATCACCAAAAGAACTTGGTCTTCAGAAGCAGCAAGATATTTACAAAACTTCCCATTCGGGCCTTTTACCGAGTAGCGCAAATGTTTATCAGGATCAGAAATTTAATAACAATAATAGTAACAACAATAGTATTAGTTCAAGTGCAATGGAAATTGAAAATACAGCGTATATTAACGAAAAAGAGGACGAGAATCCTCATAATTCCAATTTGAATAAGAAAAACAAATATTTGGGTATAGTAGATATAGAACCAGAAGAATCAGGATTAGTTGGAGAAATTATATCACTGACAGGCAAGCAGCCTTCAAACAACAATAACACCTCCATCATCTCGAAAACAAATGGCAACTATCACTTTACAGTAAAAACCGCTACTCGCACCCAAGAGATCACCACAATTTCTGCTGTTGCATTCACCACTCCTTCCTGCGGCAGTGTTTTCGATCCAATTGACGCCGGATCACGTTTCTACGTCAAACGACGCATAGTAATCGGAAACGTGTCAAAATGGATTCCACATGAAAAGCGGGAACCAAAGCTCGAGAAATACACGCACAAATGGATGGTATATGTTGTTGGGCCGCCGCATTCGTTGAACATCACGTCTTTTATACGTAAAGTGCGGTTCTATTTGCATCCTAGTTATCGACCTAATGATATTGTGGATCTTAAGGAAGCGCCGTTTCAGATTACGAGGTTTGGGTGGGGTGAGTTTCCGGTGAGAGTTCAATTGTTTTTTGTTGACAAAAAAAACAAGCCAGTGGATGTGATACATCTGTTAAAAGTATATTCTTTTTATTATGAATGTCTTTGTATATTTCATGGTTATAATTAGTTTTATTAATCATTAATTTCTTTATCCAGCTCGACGAAACCCATTCTGGTAAACAGAGATTAGGAGATGAGCGTGCATATGATCTTGAGCTTGACAGAAATACCGAATTTATGGCGCCACGCGAAGAAAAGATACCAGAAAAAAATTCAACTAATGGTACAAAAATTAGCAAACGTCCTGATGGGTTAACAAAAAATCTGAATGGCGTTCATCTTCACAGTGAAAACACAACTTCTAGTGATATTTCTTATTTATTGGAACCATTGTTAAATGAGACAGTTCACTCTTACCCGCTTATTCGGCCCAATTCTGAGAGCTCTAGGAATGATTCTCTTCCATATAATACTGCTCCTTCAACTCAATTATTTCTCGCATGGGAATTGAACGTTCGAACATCAGCAGAATGGCAGAGAGCAAGAGCGATGCGAATAATGGTTCAATCTATGTCGCAATCAATAGCCGATGAGAAAATACAAGAAGCAGCTGCTTCATTGACAACAAAAGGAGTAGCTTTATGGTGTCGAAAGAAAAAACATACGCCAATATTGCCTGATGAAAGTGATTCCACGTTAAATATCTTTGACAAATCTCTAGAGTCATTAGAGTCTCCAATAGCAACCCAACAGTTAGTCACGTCTCCCGAATCATTCTTGTTTTCCTCGACCTCTTTAACAACCCCTACAATCTATTGTAAATATTGTGGATGTCTCAATTCGTGGCATGAAACTGAACTTACAGAAGATGGGTTGTCCTCTCTTACAAAAATCAAATGTAAAAGACGACCACGCGCGCTCCGTAAATTCGGGAAACTATGCGGTTTAACGTTAGCCAATGAATCTATTGAAGAATTAAGCAAAGACTCCTGTCAAGGTAATTATTTTAGAAAATTTTTATTCCTGTATCTCGACTAACATTCATATTTTTATTATTAATAGAAGAGGAAAATATGGAGATGGATATTGACATTGGCAATTTTGATATCAAGGAAACAATGACAAATATTTTCAACCCAAGTATACTGTCCCAAAATGATGATAAATCAAATGAATGGCTCACAATAAATAGTATGCTGGATCCTCGTGGAATTGACTGGGTATGGGATGTAGTTGCAGAACTCGAAATGAAAAGTGTCGTAGCAACAAATATATCCGCATCGGATGACAACACTATTTCTATGGAAGATGATTCAATTGTTGCAGTTGAACAACGATTGGTGACTGGAAATTTATTATTTCAGGTAAAAATTTTTTCATTTGAAATATAAGATTATTCGTTTTTTTTTTATTAACTTTCTATGTTATGCCATTCATTAATTTATAGTTAACAAAGATATTCTTGGGAGACATTTTGAATAAATCTGTAGAAATATACAAAAACGAAGAAAAAAATGACACAGCTAGTAGCAAGAATTATTCTCTTTCATCTATAAAAAAAGAGGAAAAAGAAGAGGAACGAGACTCATCATGGCAAGAACATTCCAATAGCATGGATATTGACGACGAAGCTTTAGTTCCTATGATAGAAGAATCAAAAAAACACGTTTCTTCATCATCATCACCATCACTCCAAATCCCACATCCAACTAAACTTCTGGTTCCATATCATATTTATCAAGCCCTAGAAAGTAACCCCCAAACAGACTTTTTGACAGGAAAATATTTAGCATCGATGAATTCATGTAGTGCACACCGATCAAAAAAAGCGGAATCCTCGAAAAATGAAGGAAATAAGGAGGAAATATAGTTGGAGATTGTTCTTACTGAATGATGATGAAACATTTTTGCGTTTTTTGTTAGACTCGACTGAAATTTTTAACTGGCTGACTTTAATTGCTGGAGCTAGAAAAACGTGTAATTGTAATATAGATAGATTTGACTGTATTTGTAACTCCTCAAGCTAAAATAATTTTTGTAAAAAAGCTATCCATATTTTAATAATTCACAACTATTTAGAGCAATAAAAATTTGACATAGCAAAACTTTTGAACTAGAAGATTTTCATTATATCGAGAATTTCATTATATAAAGGTAAGCAAAAGTCATTCTATCCAAGTTTGTTATCATGAGATTTGATTGTAAAATCAAACTTCACTATATAATTTAGTTCAAAATGAATATCAAACAAGTGTCCAATCAAAAAGTCAAAAATTAAATGATTATTCACAATTTAATATACAATAAAGATGATAAAATCGACATAGAACGAATTTAAATGTATAAATATAGGAATAAATGTAAATTCAAACAGGCAATCCAAGACCGGTTCTTTTGAGTCTGAAAACGGTTTCAATAGGCTGTGATATGCCGCCATTTTGTCCTAAGGTAGTGCCTTCTTTCCAACTAATGCATATGTAATTAACAAAAAAATCAGTAACAAACAACGATGAAATAATCATCATCACTATAATCTTTACCCCATCTTCGAGAGCATACGATGCCCAATATTATCGGATGTCAATGGTGCTGCCGAAGCTAGTAATGATAAAAAACTTTAATTTTCTATAATTGAATCCAACAGAAAAACAAGAAAAAAATATACCCCCGACAACAGTCCCGTGTTTAGGCTTAGCCGTAATTTTAGGCCGACTCTTATCCTTGATAGGTAGATTCTGCCTTATTTTATTCCTCAATCTTTCCTTTTCCTCTTTATTCAAGTTTGTGCACATGGCTACAAGTTGCATCCTTCCTTGATTTACTAACGCAGTAATTGATGATTGATCTGGTGGGATTCTAGTGTCTGGTGTTTTTTGGAGAATGGTGTGTCTATTATATTTTCGAAAATCAAAATCCAAAAATTAATTCTCACATGTACAACATATTACGCTATAGCCTTATTATAACCCTAAGATTGTTTATTCGTTTTACCTCCTCTCACCAGCACCTATGCTTTTAGATTTCAGTTCATACTGTCTCGAGATAATGTGTATCCAGCGACGAGCGGCAGGCGCGTAAGGTTGAAAATGGTAACTATTTATTTAATTGGAATTTTTTAACTAATATCTCGATAGTCAAATAAAAATATAAAATTTAAAAGATATTTACGACTTGATAGTGTTATCCTTAATAAAGTTGACAATCATTCTATGAATATCCAGTAACTCTGTGTAAGGTTCTTGACGCTGTGCTCCTTTTTTCTTTTTTTCTCTTTTCTTACGTTTGCCTTCGTTTTCGTGTCTATTAGGGACGAATTCGTCGTCAAGAAAAGATTCTCGAGTTTTTCTTTTTTTCTTCTTTTCTCTTTTCTTGCGTTTGCCTTCGAGGTTCTTTGCTCTCTTAAGACGCGACTTAAAGCCTGGGAAAATTGTTAATCAGTGTCTTACATTATTTGAAAAACAGTGCCTTACATAATTGTTCTTTAATTTCATGATTTCTTACTTCCTAAAACGGGAACCGCATTATAAGAATCGTCCATGAACCCATTACTGCTTATAGCTCTCATACCACGCTGATTTTGATTTCCACGTTTTTTATAAAGCGGTCCTTCTATCTCATTATCATCCAGCAGAATCTTTAAATCGTCTAAATAACCATCATCCCACGAATCATAGCCGATTTCGTGTCTATCAGGGACGAATTCGTAATCAGGAAGAGATTTCCTATTTTTTTTACTTTTCTTTCTAGAACAATTATCTTTTTCATCTGTTTTAACTACAAAATTTTCATCATCTTCTTGATCGTCCTCATCCTCCTCTTCCTGATCATCATCCTCCTCTTCCTCCTCATCAATATAAATATCATCACCAATACTCGCGTTGGAATCTTCCTCTTCCCCATCTTCATTGAAATTGATGGACTGGATCTTTTCTTCTAGTTCATGTAAAGGTATATTTTTCAGATATTCAAAGTCATCGGTAGTAGTGTTCTAAAGGTAAAGGGTCAACAAGAAATAAAACATGTAATTACAATTATTAAGAAAAAAAGAATTTCAATGCTAAATAAAAAGAAACAAACTTCAATATAATCATTTAGCACTTCGTTCTCTTCGTCAACTTCAGAATCAGTCATGTGTTCAACATAAAATCTTTTACGTGCTTTCCGTTGTCTAGCACGAGCTCGCCGATTATTTTTCTTTTTTTCTTTCTTATATAGTGGTAGGGAGTTATTACAACCGTTATCAGTGGTAGTATTATTGTTATTATCGTTATTATCATTATCACCATCATTATTATCATCAGCAACAACAGCAGCAGTATTATTGAGCTCATTTAGAGTTCGAGGAGCAGTCGCATCTCCAGTATTTGGAAGATTGAATAAAGATGACGGCTGAATCTCATTTTTTCTCGGAAATTGTAGTGGTTTTGGTTTATAGACGATTATTTCACCAGTCTCTTCATTTTCATAAATATATGAATCGTCAATTCTTCGAGCGCCAGTGACACCAGGTTCTTCATTCGTATAAAATGTAGCTGAATCGATCTCAGTATTTACTGGTGCGAATAAATTTGTCATCTTGGTGTCTTTTTGGGTTTCAAGTAAGTTAAAGTCACCTCTTTTATCAGTTATCCAACTTCCAACAAAACCAAAGTTAATATTATCATTGTTATTATTAACAGGGATTGTATCAATTTGTTGTAAAGAGTTATTTACAACTAATGGAGTATCATTCTTATCATCATTGATTTGATATTCTCGATACGAAGAGAAAAATTCAGATTCCATTTTGAATGATTTCAGGTTATGTTCGGAATTTTGATGAGAACTTGATGTACCGCCCAGATTATTTTTTAGCACAGTAGCAGCTGATACGGGCTTCGTTCCAGTATTTTGAAGTCCGTTACCGATTAATATTTCTAATAATGTGTTAGAATGGTCTTGACCATGATGATAATTATTTTTATTAATTGATTGTTGTTCTATTGTATTAAAGGTATTTGGAGGGATATACGAATATTTTTCGTTCCACACGAAAGATTCGTTCATCAGAATTTCACATTCTGACTCGCACTCTAATAAATCAAATAAATCAAATAATTAAAAAAAAATATAGTCTGTCTTGAATATTTTTTAATTAAACTATCACAAACCTTTATGCTCGATTACTTCCTGTTCTCGATTATCATCTTCTTCTTCAAAGACGACAACTGAAGGGGAATCAGGCTCCCCAATTTTATTCGGGTTATATATATGTGGCAGTTTCCGAGGTTTACTAAAAGCAATTGGTCTCAAGTATTTACTACCTTTAAACTTATTACTGTCGTTGTCGTTGTCGTTGTTGTTATTAACACGTGACGGTCGTTCTGTCTTATTATTATAATACCCACCACTACCATCAGCATCACCACTATAACCCAGCCCAGTTGTCAGTTCCTCGTCTTCTTCTGGTTCTACTTGTGCTACAGCACTGCCGAATTTCTTGCGCGATTTTCTGCTTCTTTGTTTCTTACGATCGACAGTTACTTCATGGAATTGGCTAGAAAACGGATCGTATCCTTGTTTCTTATCACTGTAGGATCGAATGCCACCATGTCCTCCTCCTTCCCCGTTGCCATTTTTGTGTGAAATATTACTGTTATTATAGTTATTTTTACTGCGGTTTTTGTTGTGCCCTTCTTCCTCTTCAAAATTTTTGAATTCGATATTTAAATGGCATTTCTTTTAACATGTTTTTCCTAATCATCAATGTTTTAAATACCTTTTACCGAGTCTTGGCCAAACATTTCTTTCGAACTACACTAACAGCTATAATTCAGGACGACTTGTTTAAGAAGGACGAAGAGTACTTTTAAACGTTTCATTCTTCTTATGATGTTTATTGTTTGATGGGATCAACCAATCAATTACCACAAATACGAATCTGTGATGCACATCGGGATTAGAACAATGAAAATAGAAACGGTTATCGTAGTCTGTTTGATTTATAATCACCAAAACTTTTTTCCAATCTTTACCTGCCCACACATTTTCATTTCAGATCTAATTCACCCTGCACCAAAACAACACTGGTAACTGAAGGAAAAGCATAGAAAACACAACTTCACCTTTTACCTGTTCGTGATGGAAAGAGACGAGGCAGCTTCTTTTGCAACGACATCGGAAAACAGAAGACGACGGTTACAACACAATCAAAGTCGCAACAACCATGCTAACAGTAGACGACGTAGTATTATAGCTACTAACTTTAATAATAGAAGCATTGCAAACAACCACCACCTTAATGTTGAAAACACTAATAGTAACAACGCCACAAGGGCGTCGTCTTCAGTGTCTTCTTCGGTAAACCCATCGTCGAGAGAGTCGAGCATTGAAGCGGTTGCAAGGTTTGTCCAACTTCATGAAGTTAACATTTCACGTGAATACTCTTGACTTAACAATTCCGATATTCTTTCTGACTTTTGCTATCTACATAAACCAACATTAACCTTAATAATTCATAAAAATATTAGTTCGACAGCAACAGAAGCCTCTCGCACATCAGCTTCATCATCGTTATCGAGTAGAGGGGTAGTTGCTACCTCCGACTCACCATCACATCATTCATCGTATTCAATAACAACGAGCTCACCAGTGTACACATTCACAGATGCTCCTTATGCGTCAAATCCGTACATTGAGACACCTTTATTGAATGGGATATACTCATCGCTTGATAATGCTTCTACGGCTCCAGTAGGAGCATCAGCACCTAATCTTATGCCTTTGCGGCCATACTTTGTACAGTCCCTGACACCACCAATACATGTGCATAGTAGTAATAACAATAATAATAATCATAATAGCAGCAATAGTAATAATTCTAATGGACATAACACCTCAGCATCATCTTCACATACTCAGCCACCACCAATAATATCCACAACTTTTACATCACAATTCTATTCCCCGACATCACCGTCCTATTCGCCGACATCACCATCCTTTTCCCCCGTAGCTCCTAGTTATTCACCCACTTCTCCTAACTATACGCCCGCTTCTCCTTCATATTCACCAATGTCTCCCCCGTACTCACGATTCACATTACCACCATACGCGCCAAACGTTAGCCCACCATACAATCCAAATTCGGCTAGTTTCTTTAATAATAATAATAATAATAATAGTAGTAGTAGTAGTAGTAGTAATAATAATAGTGGCAGTAATCACGAATCTACTTCATATCAGTCTGTTTCGTACTTGAACTCACCAAGCTATCGATCTAATTATAATGCCGCGTATTCGCCCGGGTATTTTGGTAATAATAATAATATGCGTCCTGTAACAGCAAATTACGAACCTTCGACTACCGCGTCTTCGCCTACTTATCAGAGTTTCTCGGTGGCGAGTAGTAATAATAGTGGTTCATTTAATGGGGTTTCATCGAGCTCTGTAAGGCCGATGTCTTCGTTGGCGCCATGGCAGCCTCATATTCCTCACAGGACGTCAAGATCTGCGTTTTCACATATTCAACGACAACAAACTCAGGATTTGATTGAACGGTGAGTTATTTATGTTTGATAATATATGATTATGTTTATGAATATGGGATTTTAATGATTTAATTGTTTGAATTCCGCTAAAAGATATTTCAATCAATTACAACAAGGATGTGGTAAAAAACCCGATTGCCCGAACATCTACTGTGCTTCAAATATTAGTAAGCCTCTTATTGTTTCATTGACATTATTTAGTTTTAATGAATCTGATTTTATTTTGATTTTCAATTATGATTTTTCATAAGATGTTCCACGACGTGACCCTAATGAAGCCGCCGCGTTAGCCGTTACCCTTGCACGAAATGGAAACTCCCATATTTGTGCAAACTTATTAAATGATGAGAGTTCAAGTAAACGTAATAAATTACGTAAAGTGTTTGAATTACGCGATTATCATCATTATTCTTTTTATTTTTTTATATATATTCCAAATATTAATATTAATATTATATTGTTATTATTATTATAGCTCTTGAAAGTCTCGAACTCTCTGAACTGGAGTTGTTGATTGCAAATGGTAAAATTTCACATCTGAAAGATAGCATCATTAACGTGTTCAGTAATAGTAGTCGTTTGGCAAATAGCTTCAAACAGGTAAGTTGATTTTTATGAGTCTTATTCTCTTTTATTTTATTATAAGATATTTTAATTTAATTTCAAAAAATTAGATGAATTGTGAATTCAAAGAAAAATGCCCGGTTGATGTTGAGGAAATTCGATTGGCTTATCATTTAATAATACATAAGGTTTGAGAATACGATGGATCTTGTGTTTTATATTATGAAATCGGTAATTAATATTTTCATATTTTTAAAGTGTACGGATACTAAAGTAAAAGAAGCTACACTTTCAGGCATAGCCTCTCTATTAAAAAAATTCAAGAGTGGATATGAGCTTGTAAAGAACGAGATTTTGCATATATTTATTACAATTTTGCAGGTCAGTCATCTTTGTTTCTCTAATAATTTAAAGGTTATAATTCATTAGTTTTTAATTTAACAATTATACAGAATCCATTACTTATGGACCCAACAAGTCACGCAGAAGTAATGCCCCTCCTAGTTGACATTCTCGCAAATCTAACGCCGAGCAAAAAGCAGATTCTAAGTAAATACCTTATCGCCGAACAACCACCTAGAAAACATAATAACGGCGAGTCTTTCTATAAGAGATCCGGTTGCGCGGAATCAGCACAAGACATGTATTATTATGTTAGTCTATTTCATCATTTCATCACGTTGCGGCTGCTGTCAAGCAATGTCACCCCGAATAAAGATGAGGCCGTGATGGATGCGACAAAGTGTCTCGATATTTTATGTAATTTCAATTTTTTGGATTTTTATTTATTTTCGAAAAATGGGTTTGGAATCCTTAGTAGTTAATATTTTTTTTTGACTCGTTAACCATTTTTTTTTAATTCATATAATTTACAGATAAAATCAATGACGAGAAAAAAATAATACCGTTTTCAGAATTCTATAATGATGCGGTAAACGAGCAGATTGAGATAAAAGAAGATCTTCCGCCATATAAACAGCGAGATGGGTGAGTATTCCTTTATTTTCTCTTTTACATACGAAAAATCTTTGCGATATTAAAGAAAATCTCGTCTTGATTTTTGTCATGAAGATTTTCGTTCTGTGATTATCCGTTTATACTGAAACCGGTGATTAAGGCAAACATTTTGAAGATCGAAAGTATGGTGCAAATGCGTCATGAATTACAGGTACTAAAAATAAATACAGTCTCTATATTTCACACGACATTTAGAGTTCGAGGAGCAGTCGCATCTCCAGTATTTGGAAGATTGAATAAAGATGACGGCTGAATCTCATTTTTTCTCGGAAATTGTAGTGGTTTTGGTTTATAGACGATTATTTCACCAGTCTCTTCATTTTCATAAATATATGAATCGTCAATTCTTCGAGCGCCAGTGACACCAGGTTCTTCATTCGTATAAAATGTAGCTGAATCGATCTCAGTATTTACTGGTGCGAATAAATTTGTCATCTTGGTGTCTTTTTGGGTTTCAAGTAAGTTAAAGTCACCTCTTTTATCAGTTATCCAACTTCCAACAAAACCAAAGTTAATATTATCATTGTTATTATTAACAGGGATTGTATCAATTTGTTGTAAAGAGTTATTTACAACTAATGGAGTATCATTCTTATCATCATTGATTTGATATTCTCGATACGAAGAGAAAAATTCAGATTCCATTTTGAATGATTTCAGGTTATGTTCGGAATTTTGATGAGAACTTGATGTACCGCCCAGATTATTTTTTAGCACAGTAGCAGCTGATACGGGCTTCGTTCCAGTATTTTGAAGTCCGTTACCGATTAATATTTCTAATAATGTGTTAGAATGGTCTTGACCATGATGATAATTATTTTTATTAATTGATTGTTGTTCTATTGTATTAAAGGTATTTGGAGGGATATACGAATATTTTTCGTTCCACACGAAAGATTCGTTCATCAGAATTTCACATTCTGACTCGCACTCTAATAAATCAAATAAATCAAATAATTAAAAAAAAATATAGTCTGTCTTGAATATTTTTTAATTAAACTATCACAAACCTTTATGCTCGATTACTTCCTGTTCTCGATTATCATCTTCTTCTTCAAAGACGACAACTGAAGGGGAATCAGGCTCCCCAATTTTATTCGGGTTATATATATGTGGCAGTTTCCGAGGTTTACTAAAAGCAATTGGTCTCAAGTATTTACTACCTTTAAACTTATTACTGTCGTTGTCGTTGTCGTTGTTGTTATTAACACGTGACGGTCGTTCTGTCTTATTATTATAATACCCACCACTACCATCAGCATCACCACTATAACCCAGCCCAGTTGTCAGTTCCTCGTCTTCTTCTGGTTCTACTTGTGCTACAGCACTGCCGAATTTCTTGCGCGATTTTCTGCTTCTTTGTTTCTTACGATCGACAGTTACTTCATGGAATTGGCTAGAAAACGGATCGTATCCTTGTTTCTTATCACTGTAGGATCGAATGCCACCATGTCCTCCTCCTTCCCCGTTGCCATTTTTGTGTGAAATATTACTGTTATTATAGTTATTTTTACTGCGGTTTTTGTTGTGCCCTTCTTCCTCTTCAAAATTTTTGAATTCGATATTTAAATGGCATTTCTTTTAACATGTTTTTCCTAATCATCAATGTTTTAAATACCTTTTACCGAGTCTTGGCCAAACATTTCTTTCGAACTACACTAACAGCTATAATTCAGGACGACTTGTTTAAGAAGGACGAAGAGTACTTTTAAACGTTTCATTCTTCTTATGATGTTTATTGTTTGATGGGATCAACCAATCAATTACCACAAATACGAATCTGTGATGCACATCGGGATTAGAACAATGAAAATAGAAACGGTTATCGTAGTCTGTTTGATTTATAATCACCAAAACTTTTTTCCAATCTTTACCTGCCCACACATTTTCATTTCAGATCTAATTCACCCTGCACCAAAACAACACTGGTAACTGAAGGAAAAGCATAGAAAACACAACTTCACCTTTTACCTGTTCGTGATGGAAAGAGACGAGGCAGCTTCTTTTGCAACGACATCGGAAAACAGAAGACGACGGTTACAACACAATCAAAGTCGCAACAACCATGCTAACAGTAGACGACGTAGTATTATAGCTACTAACTTTAATAATAGAAGCATTGCAAACAACCACCACCTTAATGTTGAAAACACTAATAGTAACAACGCCACAAGGGCGTCGTCTTCAGTGTCTTCTTCGGTAAACCCATCGTCGAGAGAGTCGAGCATTGAAGCGGTTGCAAGGTTTGTCCAACTTCATGAAGTTAACATTTCACGTGAATACTCTTGACTTAACAATTCCGATATTCTTTCTGACTTTTGCTATCTACATAAACCAACATTAACCTTAATAATTCATAAAAATATTAGTTCGACAGCAACAGAAGCCTCTCGCACATCAGCTTCATCATCGTTATCGAGTAGAGGGGTAGTTGCTACCTCCGACTCACCATCACATCATTCATCGTATTCAATAACAACGAGCTCACCAGTGTACACATTCACAGATGCTCCTTATGCGTCAAATCCGTACATTGAGACACCTTTATTGAATGGGATATACTCATCGCTTGATAATGCTTCTACGGCTCCAGTAGGAGCATCAGCACCTAATCTTATGCCTTTGCGGCCATACTTTGTACAGTCCCTGACACCACCAATACATGTGCATAGTAGTAATAACAATAATAATAATCATAATAGCAGCAATAGTAATAATTCTAATGGACATAACACCTCAGCATCATCTTCACATACTCAGCCACCACCAATAATATCCACAACTTTTACATCACAATTCTATTCCCCGACATCACCGTCCTATTCGCCGACATCACCATCCTTTTCCCCCGTAGCTCCTAGTTATTCACCCACTTCTCCTAACTATACGCCCGCTTCTCCTTCATATTCACCAATGTCTCCCCCGTACTCACGATTCACATTACCACCATACGCGCCAAACGTTAGCCCACCATACAATCCAAATTCGGCTAGTTTCTTTAATAATAATAATAATAATAATAGTAGTAGTAGTAGTAGTAGTAATAATAATAGTGGCAGTAATCACGAATCTACTTCATATCAGTCTGTTTCGTACTTGAACTCACCAAGCTATCGATCTAATTATAATGCCGCGTATTCGCCCGGGTATTTTGGTAATAATAATAATATGCGTCCTGTAACAGCAAATTACGAACCTTCGACTACCGCGTCTTCGCCTACTTATCAGAGTTTCTCGGTGGCGAGTAGTAATAATAGTGGTTCATTTAATGGGGTTTCATCGAGCTCTGTAAGGCCGATGTCTTCGTTGGCGCCATGGCAGCCTCATATTCCTCACAGGACGTCAAGATCTGCGTTTTCACATATTCAACGACAACAAACTCAGGATTTGATTGAACGGTGAGTTATTTATGTTTGATAATATATGATTATGTTTATGAATATGGGATTTTAATGATTTAATTGTTTGAATTCCGCTAAAAGATATTTCAATCAATTACAACAAGGATGTGGTAAAAAACCCGATTGCCCGAACATCTACTGTGCTTCAAATATTAGTAAGCCTCTTATTGTTTCATTGACATTATTTAGTTTTAATGAATCTGATTTTATTTTGATTTTCAATTATGATTTTTCATAAGATGTTCCACGACGTGACCCTAATGAAGCCGCCGCGTTAGCCGTTACCCTTGCACGAAATGGAAACTCCCATATTTGTGCAAACTTATTAAATGATGAGAGTTCAAGTAAACGTAATAAATTACGTAAAGTGTTTGAATTACGCGATTATCATCATTATTCTTTTTATTTTTTTATATATATTCCAAATATTAATATTAATATTATATTGTTATTATTATTATAGCTCTTGAAAGTCTCGAACTCTCTGAACTGGAGTTGTTGATTGCAAATGGTAAAATTTCACATCTGAAAGATAGCATCATTAACGTGTTCAGTAATAGTAGTCGTTTGGCAAATAGCTTCAAACAGGTAAGTTGATTTTTATGAGTCTTATTCTCTTTTATTTTATTATAAGATATTTTAATTTAATTTCAAAAAATTAGATGAATTGTGAATTCAAAGAAAAATGCCCGGTTGATGTTGAGGAAATTCGATTGGCTTATCATTTAATAATACATAAGGTTTGAGAATACGATGGATCTTGTGTTTTATATTATGAAATCGGTAATTAATATTTTCATATTTTTAAAGTGTACGGATACTAAAGTAAAAGAAGCTACACTTTCAGGCATAGCCTCTCTATTAAAAAAATTCAAGAGTGGATATGAGCTTGTAAAGAACGAGATTTTGCATATATTTATTACAATTTTGCAGGTCAGTCATCTTTGTTTCTCTAATAATTTAAAGGTTATAATTCATTAGTTTTTAATTTAACAATTATACAGAATCCATTACTTATGGACCCAACAAGTCACGCAGAAGTAATGCCCCTCCTAGTTGACATTCTCGCAAATCTAACGCCGAGCAAAAAGCAGATTCTAAGTAAATACCTTATCGCCGAACAACCACCTAGAAAACATAATAACGGCGAGTCTTTCTATAAGAGATCCGGTTGCGCGGAATCAGCACAAGACATGTATTATTATGTTAGTCTATTTCATCATTTCATCACGTTGCGGCTGCTGTCAAGCAATGTCACCCCGAATAAAGATGAGGCCGTGATGGATGCGACAAAGTGTCTCGATATTTTATGTAATTTCAATTTTTTGGATTTTTATTTATTTTCGAAAAATGGGTTTGGAATCCTTAGTAGTTAATATTTTTTTTTGACTCGTTAACCATTTTTTTTTAATTCATATAATTTACAGATAAAATCAATGACGAGAAAAAAATAATACCGTTTTCAGAATTCTATAATGATGCGGTAAACGAGCAGATTGAGATAAAAGAAGATCTTCCGCCATATAAACAGCGAGATGGGTGAGTATTCCTTTATTTTCTCTTTTACATACGAAAAATCTTTGCGATATTAAAGAAAATCTCGTCTTGATTTTTGTCATGAAGATTTTCGTTCTGTGATTATCCGTTTATACTGAAACCGGTGATTAAGGCAAACATTTTGAAGATCGAAAGTATGGTGCAAATGCGTCATGAATTACAGGTACTAAAAATAAATACAGTCTCTATATTTCACACGACATTTCTGTTTGTAGGGTATTAAATTTTATTTCATAACACAGGACACATTCTTTAGAGCAATGTTTATTGGCGTCACTTCTCCTTACTTAGTATTGGAAATTCGACGAGATTTTATAATTAGAGATGCTTTATTTAATGTAAGTTATACAATATATAATAGCTCTCTCTTATGCGTTTGCGTAATAACCTACCATGTTCTTATATTTGCTATTGTTTACCTCTTTGCCTTCAACAGCTTGAATCGAAATCTCCACAAGACCTAAAAAAGCAATTGAGAGTACACTTTGTGGGAGAAGAAGGGGTAGACGAAGGCGGCGTACAGAAAGAATTCTTTCAGCTAGTAGTTCGTGAGATGTTTGATCAAAAATACGGTAAATAACTATTAAATGTTTAGCAATTTGATATTTAGAATTTATAGAACATTTCGTCTATTATTTAGGAATGTTTAGTCAAAATGAAGAATCTCGGCTATGTTGGTTCAATCAAAGCACTTTTGTAGAAGAAAGTCTAGATGAATATAAATTGATAGGTCGACTTTTAGGATTGGCAATTTACAATTCTGTCATTCTGGATGTGCATTTTCCGATTGCACTTTATCGTAAATTAAAGAATCAGCCAGTTAACTTGCAGGATTTAAAAGAATTGGATCCGGTTGGTATCATGTTTTGTTCGTTTTAAGAAGATAAGCGCGCGAACACACTCACACTCACACTCATATACATATTAACAAAAAATATCCTATTTATAATAATCTCAAAAAACTCAAATAACACACAAGACCCTAGGCAAGGGACTGGAACAATTACTGACACTAGATGATGATGTCGAGTCCACATATAATCGAACATTTCTGATAGACTACGAGACTTTTGGACAGCGATATACACACGAACTTAAACCGGGAGGCGCTGAAATTAAACTCACGAATGAAAATCGAGAAGGTAACTTGATGATTTTAATTTTAAATCTTAATGTTACATTCCTATTTGATTAATCTTGTATTTTTATCTATTAGAATTTGTTTCACTTTTCGTTGATTTTTGGTTAAATAAGTCTGTCGAGAAACAATTTAATGCATTCAAAGAAGGATTTGATCTTGTGTGTGGGGAGAGTGCTGTACAGGTAATTAAAAAATTTAACATCAAAAAATCTTAATAAGTTCGATTAAATGTATTTGACTTTATTTGTTTTTTTTTAATTAATAAAGTTGTTCCGTGCAGAAGAAGTAGAGCTCTTAGTGTGTGGTAGCCCCGATTTTGATTTTGAAGCGCTAGAACAAATAACACATTATGATGGCGGATATTCAAAATCTTCGCCAGTGATAAGGTAATTAATAGTATATTGGGGAAATTTATATTTTTAATTTTCCGAGTATTTTAAACAAGTTATTTTTCTAAAAAATAAAATTAAGGTTTTTTTGGGAGGTCGTCCATTCATTCACGGAAGCACAAAAAAAGAAACTATTGTTCTTCACTACGGGGAGTGATAGAGTTCCCATTGGCGGTTTAGGGAAATTGAATTTTGTGATTGCGAAAAATGGCGGAGATTCTGATAGGTAAATAAATAACAAATAACTATTTTGAATAATCTTACAATAACCTCTTATTTATATTTATATTTATATTTATATATATATATATATATAGATTACCTACTTCTCACACATGTTATAATGTGCTACTACTGCCCGAATATAAAACCAAAGAGAGACTTAAAGACCGATTACTAACTGCAATAAATAATTCTGAAGGATTTGGATTAATATGATAATGATTTTGAAAAATAAGTAATAATTTATACCATTTATAATATTATAATCAAAAATCTGGAGGTAAAAATCGAACAAAATTATTATTTAATAATTTACAAAATTATGTAAACTATTATTATATAAAAATTACATTATCCGCTTTGTTGATCTATCACGACTTGAAATAACTTTTCTTAATCATTTTAGATGAATATCATCTCAATGCACTACTTACATTAAATCACTGCATCAAAAAAAAGTAAACAATAAACAATAGTGATTTATAAAAGTTTTTGGTTTTTATAATAAATATTTTTACTTTATATTAATAACCTATAGTTTTATATGTTTTGCAAATTTTTTCTAACAGAATTATCTTTATAGAATTAGAAAAAATTTTATAATGAATTTATAATTATAATAATTCTTTTTATTTTAAAAGTATATTTATATATATATTATTGTAATATGAACTTTTATTATATTTATTATTTTGTATTTTATTAAACAATCTATATTATAATATTATTAGATAAGGAGAGTGCCAGAAATTATATAATTAAATTTTATTATAAGCTGACTTTTCTCACTCCTCTTGTGACTTTTAATTAATCAAAAAATTAATCTTGTGATTTTAATTCTGTGATGCTAATTAATAATCCTGTGATTCTAATCAAGAAAATTAATTTTGATTTTACATATTTTACTTTACGTGACTTTATTATAAATACATTACTTTGGCATAAAATTTTGTTTTATGTGATAACTTATAAATATAATAGTCATTTTACGTAACTCTCTCTAGTTATTCTAATATAATCTTTTCTCTTTATTCCAAGTTTTTTAAAGTTCTTTTTTTATAAAAATCCAAATAATATCTATCAAAGATATTGTAATACATATATATATGCATATTTAGTTCATTTTGATATGCCAACACTCCAAAATAAAGAAAATCTTGTGAAAGAATGTAATCTAACATGAAATGAAATTAAAAAAAAATATAAAATCTATCAATATCAAAATTAAGATGCTTTTCAATTCTACTTCTTCAATAATCTGATCTTATTGAAGATACATGAATAGATAATTATTTCAAATATCTGATTCTACTATTACGCTCTCAGTAAATCAACAACATATCTTGAGAAAGTTATCTTCTAATATACTAAAAATCATATCAAATACTATTGATCAAATATCAATAGTAAATATTATAACTAATGCTAAAGAAAAATGAGAGCAATATATTAAAATAATAGCTATAATTAATAATATTGATCTATAACATATCTTATTAATAAAATTAAATAAACTTGATCATGAGATTACTAAATAAAAAAAAAGATTAGAATAACTTAAATATCATACTACTACATAAGTCAAATCTTGAGCCAAAAAAATGAGACTTTTAAAAGAAGAAATTGCTAAAATATATGATAAATCAGAATGATCATTGACTGTAACTATTTATCCTAACTTGTGAGAAAATATTCACAACTACATAGAGTTTGGTACTGCATTTACAAAGTGAAGAAAAAGTATAATTAAAGTAAGAATAGTAAAGTATTTAAAAGAAGAACTTGAAAAAAAATAAAAACTTATTTGTTGTTAAACAATATCATCATTCAGCTCAAATTGAAATTAGTTCAGTTATATGAACTGAGATGAAAGTACATATTGATGAGTATTATTATCTAACATTAGTCAAATTAATAAAAACCTTTATTGTAAGCTTTCCTAAAAACTCAATCATCATTTCTCAAGATGATAAAGTAAAAATTAGACTAGATATATCTGTAGTAGGAAGAATATTCAAGATTATACAATCAGTCAATAAACTAGTAACAATCACAGATCATGATTTTCCTATGAATATGAAGCAAAAACTTATTCTATCTATATACTTACTTATAAATCTATCAAAAAGTAATACATTTTGTACTGGTCATATAAGTATTTTTATTTGTTCAGAGTACTTTATAGGAATAATATCAATAACTCACATAACAGATCTTATCAAAGTTATATATAATAAATGATTTGAAAAGACTGCAAAATATGAAGAAAACATAAAGTTAATCTGGATTTTATTAGTAGATGGAGAATCTGATGAAAATTCAAAATATTTCAAAAATATTCTTGAGTATTTTAAGCTTTTTCAACAAAAAAATCTAAATTACTTGATTGCATCAGAAAATTTTTTGGATGATTTGTATCAATTTTTATTATTAGTTATATATTGTTATCATTTTAAGATTATGCATATGTAATTATTTTAAAATAGTAATAGTAACTGTATTTACAGTAGTTATTTACTTTTTATAGTTTTAAGAGATTATATGATTGATTATTCTTTCAATAAAGGGATGTGTATAAGGGTTACTTTTAACAAGAATATAATTATCTTCTCAATAAGATAATTTATACGTGCTTTACTTATAATAAAAATAATAAAAATATAATTATCTTCTCAATAAGATAATATACATGAATTTACTTCTAATAAAATACTTTCTCAATAGAACAAAAAGAAAATAAGATAAGATATAAGATAAAATATGTGTGTTTATTAAAGAAAAATACTAATTAACTACTCTTAACTCAG